TAAACTGGGCTTCATTGAAACTAAGAACTTTTGTTCTTCAAAAGACAACATTAAGGATGGATCTAGAGATTGTCATACTGAGTGAAGTAAGTCAGACAAAAATAAATATCACATGATATTGCTTATATGTGGTACAAATGAACCTATTTACAAAACAGAAATAGGATCACAGATGTAGAAAACACACTTATGGTTACCAAGGGGGAAGGGGAGGGAGGGGTAAATTGGGAGATTGGGATTGACATATACACACTACTATATATAAAATAGATAACTAATAAGAACCTGCTATATAGCACAGGGCACTCTACTCAATACTCAATAATGACCGATATGGGAATAGAATCTAAAAAAGAGTGGATATATGTATACGTATAAGTGATTCACTTTGCTGTACAGCAGAAAGTAACACAACATTGTAAATCAACTATACTCTAATAAAAATTAATTAAAAAAAGACAACATTAAGAGAGTAAAAAGGCAACTACAGACAGATGGAAAAATTTTCAATGCATACATCCAACAGAGAACTCATATACAGAATAAATAAAGAACTCCTACAAATCAATAAAAAATACTGTAAATCTTATCAAAGGAATGGGCAAAAGACTTGAACAGGAACTTCAAAAAAGAGATTTTTTTTCCCCCAGCTTGTTAATAAGCCCATGAGAGATGCTCAACATCATTAGTCATCAGGGAAATGGACATGGAAACAGCACTGAGACATCATTTACCACCCGCCCCCAACCAGAGTGGCTAAAATTAAAAAGACTAACCATACCAACTGTAGATGAAGAAACTGGAATTCTAATATATTGGTGGTGGGAGTAGAAAATGATACAAACACTTCAGAAAAATTTGATAGCACCTGCTAGTATTAAACATATACTGATACACTACGGCCCAGCAAGTCCACTCCTGGAGTGCACCCAGGCTAAATGGGTGCCTGTGTTTGCCAAAAGATGTGTACAAATTATTCATAAAAGACCCAAACTGAAAAAGATCAAAAAGTGTATCAACATAAGAATGGATAAATAAACTGTGATATAGTCAAACGACAAAAAGCTACATAGCAATGCAAAAGAACAAACTATTGCTATGTGCAACAACACAGATAAAATCACAAAGACATATGTTGTGAAACATAAGCCAGATACAAAAGAACACATGCTTTGTAATTTCATTTATATGAAGTTCCAAAACAGTCAAAGCTAATTATTCTTTTAATGTCCAGATGATAAAGGCCAGAATAGAGGTTACCTTGGGGGAGGTGATAGTGTGGCTGGAAATATTCTATAAATTGATCTTAGGGGCTTCCCTGGTGGCGCAGTGGTTGAGAGTCCGCCTGCCGATGCAGGGGACACGGGTTTGTGCCCCGGTCCGGGAGGATCCCGCATGCCGCGGAGCGGCTGGGCCCGTGAGCCATGGCCGCTGGGCCTGCACGGCCGGAGCCTGTGCTCCCCAGCAGGAGAGGCCACAACAGTGAGAGGCCCGCGTACTGCAAAAAAAAATAAACAAAAAACAAACAAAAAAACCACCACCACAACAGTAGCAGCAACAAAAATCCTAGGAGTAAGTGAGCTTACAAGGCATGGCTTTCTTAAGATAATTGATCTTAGTAGTTACATCGGTATGTACTATATATATGTAAAAATTCATCAAACTGCATAGTTAAGATTTGTGTGATTTGCTATATGTAATTTATACCTCAATTAAAAGAAAAATAATCAACTTTCCCATACCTTCTACCACCAAACACCACTGCCTTTATATGTGACAGGGAAGTAGGAAGTAGGGAAAAATATAGAGATTTGAGAAAGATAACACTAAATCATTTGTAAACTCCTCAGAGATTTTTGAGAAAAGTGTCATGGCAATGGAGAATACTAACATGAAATGTATTTTAGGAGTTCCAAGACCATATTGGAGGGAAAACGAGAGTTGAAACTTTCCTTTTTCCAGGCACTGAAATAAGTTACAGATGCGTTGTAAATTTGGTGGAGAGGTGGGGAATAAAACCAGAAAAAAAGTGTAGAATATTTGTCTAATCTTGTCTTGATGTAGGAGAAATTCTGTCTAAACATGAAGACAAGAGAAGAAAATAATTAGGCTGTAATGAATAGTTTTAATTACCAAAAAAACTTCAAAAAAAAAGACACTATAAATAAAATTAAAAGGCAGATGACAATTGAGGAAAATGTTTGTAACATATAAGGTATTTATATCTTTCATATATAAAAAGCTGTTAAAATTAACAATAAGAAGATGAGTACCCTGATAGAAATAAAAATGGTCAATAAATACATAAAAATTTATTTTATTAATTATACAAAATGGAAATTAAAGCAGATGTCTTTTTTTGCACCTATCAAATGGGCCAAGTTGAAAAGACAATACTATCTTATGTTTATCAGGTTCTGCACAGCAACTTTTCAATATGTATCAAAAGTATTTTACCCAATACTTTTATTATTTGGAATTTCTCTTGGGAAAATAATCAGAGAAACATGTTTATGCCCTAGATTTTTCATCTCAGAGTCGTTCTGATATTTTAAAACATTTGGAGACATCAAAAGGATAATATAATACTATAACTAACTCTACACACATAAATTTGATAACTTAGATGAGGTAGACCAATTTTTTAAAAAGCACACTGCTATTACTCACTCAGTATGAAACAGATAACTTGAACAGCCCTATAATTACTAAGAAAATAGAGTTCAAAAGAGATATCTCTAGGCCCAGATGGTTTCACTGGAGAATTATACCAAATGATTAAAGATGATTCAGTCTCTTCTAGAAAAGAGAAGGGAAAGGAATACTTCCCAGTTTATTTTCTAAAGCCAGCATTACGCAGATACCAAAACCAGATGAAGACAGTTCAGAAAGGAAAACTACAGACCAATATCTCTCATGAATAGATAAAAAAATCTTCAACAAAATATTAACAAATAAAGTTCAACAATGCATAAAAAGAATTATATACCATGAGTAAGTGGGTTTACTCCAGTGATGGAAAGCTGGTTCAATATTCAAAAATCAGTCAGTGTAATCCACCACATCAACAAGCTTAAAGAAGAAAAATCACAGAATCATGTCCATCAGTGAAGAACAACCATTTGACAAAATTCAACACTCAGTTATAAAACAAAACAAAACAAACAAACAAACAAAAACTCTCAGGAAGCAAGAAATAGAGAGGAAACTTCCCTCAACTTGATAAAGAACATCCATAAAAAGACAACAGCTAACATTATATTTAACAGTGAAAGACAAAATGCTTTTTCTCTAAAATCAAGAACAAGGGAAAGATGTCCAATCTCACCACTGTTATTCAACATAATGCTGAAAGAGCTAGCCAGGGCAGTGAGACCAGAAAAAGGAATAAAACCATACAGATTGGAATGAAAAACTGTCGATAGGATGGTCCATGTAGAGAACTCCTAAGGAATCTACAAACACCAAAACCAAAGCCGGCTTACTAGAACTAATAAGTGAGTTCAGCAAGGTCACAGGGTACAAAATCAACATACAAAAATCAATTGGATTTCTATATATCAGCAATAAACGTATGGTAACTAAACTTTAAAATATGATACAATTTACAGTTACTCAAAAAAAAAAAGGAAGAGTAATTCTACCAGTAATTACTGATGAAAGTAATCAAATAATCTCTCTTGTGTAGAGAAACATACCATGTTCATGGCTTGGAAGACTCAACATTGTAAAGGATGTTAATTCTCCCCAAGCTGATATATGTATAGGTTTGGCTCAATTTCTCTCAAAATCCTGGCAAGATATTTTGTAGATATAGATAAGGTTATTCTAAAAGTTAAGAATATATGATATTAACAGAGGGATAGACACATGTTCAGTGGAACAGAACAGAGAACCCAAAAATGGTTTCACACAATTTATGGCTAACAGCTTTTGACAAAGTTGTGAAAACAATTCAATGGAAAAAGGAGTATTTTCAACAATTAATGCTGCAGTGACTGTATATCCACAGAGGGAAAAAAAAAGAACTCAACCTAAACTTTATACCAAAATCATCTCAAAATAGATTACAGGTTTAAAGGTAAAACTTTATTTTTTATTATTTTTTTTGGCTCTGCCGCACGGCTTGTGGGATTTCAGTTCCCCGACCAGAGATTGAACCCGGGCCACGGCAGTGAAAGGCTGGAATCCTAACCACTGCACCACCAGGGAAGTCCCTCCTTGCCTTTTTGAGCACAAGGAAGTAGGGAGGGACGAGCCCTTCAAGAGATACCTGGAAAAGTAGGTTGTGAAATCCAGTCTCAGGTGTGGCTCTGCCCCTCCATCAAGGACATTCGCTCTTCCTTCGTCAGCATGCCTGCCTTGCCCTGTCTCTCTGAATTCCCATTCCCATTGTCACTGTTAGTGCTGCTGGCCAAAGAGAGAGACTTCCTCAAGAAAATGTCCAGAACTGTAGACTTGGGGACAGACAGGGGCAGTGTCTTCAAGGGGCAGCGCATGGATGGTGACGAGCTCTGGGCCCAGCTGCCTGGGTTGACTCCAGCTCCTTTTGATGTTGGGTGAGTTATCCAGTCGCTCAGGCTCTGAGTTCTTCATCTGAACGATGGAGGTCATAACGGTACCTACCTTGGAGTGCTGTAGTGTATGTAGAATGAGGTACTGCACAAAATCAGAGCTCAATGACCTTGGTCGTTATAATCATCAAGGAGCATGGGTTATGATTTTTAAGAGAAGGTGTAGTTTTAGCACTTTGGGGTGCTGTTCTTGGCAGGATGGAGACAAATACGTTCAGAAAACAGGGAAAAGTCCAAGAATGGCCTTTGCAATGGTTCAGCTAGAACCATTCATTAACATGGCAACGTGTTTCCTCCAGATGCATTTGTTGTGGCTTGAAATTCTAGAACTGCGTTTCCTTCAGTGGTTCAAGTAGATCTGAAATGCAGGCCTCTGGCAAAGGGTTCTCTCCAGAGACAGTAATGTTTCCCTTTCCTCTTTTGCAGACCTCAGAGGATGAGCCTTCTGAAAAGGATGCGCTGCAGCCTGGCCGCAACATTGTAGCCGCGGGCTATGCACTCTATGGAAGTGCAACACTGGTGGCTCTTTCCACTGGGCAAGGAGTGGACCTCTTCATGCTTGACCCAGTAGGTACCCAATAAGGCAGTATGGGCCTTTGTGCTTTAATTCCTGTCCTCTGAGGTAATTTCTTAGTCATTCCTAATACTTGCTTTTGGGGCCAGAGAGTCTAGTTTGGAGAGCCAACAGAATCATCTAAAAACATTAAGAACTTCTGTTCAAGTGAGGGCATTTGAGGGGTTCTACAAAGTCAGTCGTAGCAACTCAGGCCCTGTTCTTAAGGAATTTATGACCAGAAAATGCATTCAACTTCCTTTGGTTTATGGGAATACAATGACTTAAGAATCCCAATGATGCCAATTTCCAGCCAGAAGCATGGATTCTTTAGAGTAGCACCATCCACTAGAACTTTCTGTGATGATGGCTATGTTCTGTAATCTGTACTGTCTGTTATGGTGGCTACTAGCTTCCTGTGACCATTGAACATTTGCTGTGTGGTTAGTGTGACTAAGAAACTGGGTTTCTAAATTTTATTTCTTTTTAATTAACTTAAATAGCCACATGTGACTAGTGGCTACCCTACTGGACACCAGTTTGGAGGACTTCCCCTAATACACATGTTCTTCCCAATGGGAGGAGTGACTGGTAGAAAGCTATTTTATCAGATTCTGTGTTGTTCTCCACACTTTCCACAATGAGAAAATGCTCAGTAGCAGAAGGGGAAGAAGCACAGCCTCTTCCTGATATGAAAAAATGAAAAATGATGAAATATGAAAAATATGATAGCACAAAGCTGTTTGGAGGATGACATAATTGGATAAAGACACAAAAGTTCAAAAATAAAGGGTGAGCCTTCATGGCAAATGTACATTAAAAATGTTCAGGAGAGGGCTTCCCTGGTGGCGCAGTGGTTGAGAATCCGCCTGCCGATGCGAGTGAGAGGCCCGTGTACCGCAAAAAAAAAATGTTCAGGAGAAATTTTGGAAAAAATGTGTCACTTATAGAATTTCTCTTTTAAATGCTGGATGCTTTGCTTATTACTTGTGAACTACTTTGCTAAATATAATCAGGTCTTGTGAAAAATCAAATATTTTTTTTTGCGGTATGCAGGACTCTCACTGTTGTGGCCTCTCCTGTTGTGGAGCACAGGCTCCGGACACGCAGGCTCAGCGGCCATGGCTCATGGGCCCAGCTGCTCCGCAGCATGTGGGATCTTCCCGGACCGGGGCACGAACCCGTGTCCCCTGCATCGGCAGGCGGACTCTCAACCACTGCGCCACCAGGGAAGCCCTCAAATAATTTTGACCAAAGTCCATTTCAAAATTTCCAGTATTCTGTGAAGCAAAAGCTATTGTTCAGTATTTCAACTTAATTTGAAATTACAAGTGTTTATTGAGCATCTAGTGTGTCCCCAAATACCATTCTAGGCAGTGGAGGGATGTAATGCACTGATCAAACAAACATTTTAGACAAACATTTCAGGATTTTACATGCTGGTGCATGTGAAACCGCACAACTCAGATGGGGACTTGAACTGTCTTTTAATTGAGATCACACACCTGGTCTCAGGTCTCAGGTTCTTTATGTCTCATCGCAGAAAGAATTCAGTGAGAGACAAAGTGGTTTGTGAGAAGTGGATTTACTTAGAGAGATACACATTCCATACACAGAATCTGCCTCAAAAGGCGAGAATGGCCACAGGACATGGGGTTGTCTTGGAAAGTGAGAGTGGCCAAAGCAGAAACATATTCCACAGACAGTGTGAGCCATCTCAGAGGGCAAGAGGCCCGGAAATATGGGGTGGTTAGCTTTTTATGGGCTGAGTAATTTCATAGGCTAATGAGGGGGAGGGTTATTCCAACTATTTTGGGGAAGGGGCAGAAATTTCCAGGAATTGGGCCACTGCCCACTTTTTGGCCTTTTATGGTCATCCTTGGAACTGTTATGGTGCTGGTAGGTGTGTCATTTAGCATATGCTGGTGTATTACATTGAGCGTATATACGAGGCTCAAGGTCCACTGGAAGTCATCTTCTGCCATCTTGAGCCTAATTGATTCTAACCAGTTTTTGTTGTGTCCTCAATGGCTCTGTCATTCTTTTAAAGGTTGTGCCCTGCCCCCTTCTTTCCTGTTTCACATATGAGTGGAGGGAAGGGGGCTACAAATTTCAAAACAGTTAAACTAAACTTTATAGTATGGAAATCCGGTATCTTTTATTTTTTTAAATATTTATTTATTTATTTATTTATTTTTTTAAAAACTAAACTTTGTAGTATGGAAATCTGGTATCTTTTAATTTTTTAATATTTATTTATTTATTATATTTAAAATTTATTTATTTATTTATTTTTGGCCGCGTTGGGTCTTCGTTGCTGCATGTGGGCTTTCTCTAGTTGTGGTGAGTGGGGGCTGCTCTTTGTTGCGGTGCGTGGGCTTCTCATTGCTGTGGCTTCTCTTGTTGCGAAGCATGGTCTCTAGGCGCACAGGCTTCAGTAGTTGTGTCACGTGGGCTCAGTAGTTGTGGCTTGCAGGCTCTAGAGTGCAGGCTTAGTAGTTGTGGTGCACGGGCTTAGTTGCTCCGCGGCATGTGGGATCTTCCTGGACCAGGGCTTGAACCCATGTCCCCTTGCATTGGCAGGCAGATTCTTAACCACTGCGCCACCAGGGAAGTCCATCTGGTACATTTTAAAGTCTAAATTTTTCACATATAAACCCATCAGAGCAAAACACATTGCTGTGTCGGTTTACTGATGCTCTAATTTCTCCTTATTTTCATAGAAGCAGGAATCTGTAGTTCACAAATAATGTTACTGAGCCCAAGCTTGTTCTGCTTGCCGCACGACAGCCAATAAATTTGGAGACAAGGTGTTGAGGCAAGGAGTAGCGACTTTATTTGGAAAGCCAGCAGACCAAGAAGATGGCAGGTTAGGGTCCCCAAAAAACCATCTTACTGGGGTCTGGATGCTAGTTTCATTTATAGAACAGAGACTGGGAGGAGGTGAGGAAGTGAAGTAAAGAGGCCATTGTTTTGCCTGTCTTGGCCAACATCGGGAGGTGATGTGTTAATTTCTTCTTTTGTGCAGCCATTCACAGGTGGTCAGGGTCAGATTATCTCCCTGTGAGCTGAGCAAAGGCACTTTAGTTTAACATTCAGGCACAGGTGTAAGGAGGGTTCCCTGTGGCAGGCCATTATGTATGATTATAATAACAAAAACAACAAAAAGCAAAGGTTAAAGTCAAAGAAACAGATCGAACATGGAGTCTGATTTAGCTCTTCCCTGCTACAATAATACTCTCAGAATAGTAGCTGACAGTTAGACAGTGCTTATTAAGTGGTGGATAGGTATCTGTTCTAAGCAACTTGCATATATTAATGCATTTAAGCCTCACAGCAGCCCTGTGAGGGTAGGTCCTACTATTATATTTTCAGACGAGGAAAGTGAGGCACAGAGAGGGTAAGTAACTTGCCCAAGGCCATGCTAGTAGCAGTGGAGCCAAGAGTCACACTCAGGCTGTGATAATTGTGATTTATAAGAAAAAAATAAATTTGATCATTCAGATTGAAACAGGAGGGAAGGGGGCAGGGCATGACCTTTGAAAGAATGACATAGCCCGAGGACATGACCTAAACTGATTAGAACCATAAGGGTCCAAGATGGCGGACAAGTCGACTTCCACTAGACCTTGAGCCTCAGTATATGCTCACTGTAACACATCAGCAAGCTAAATGTCACACCCACAGGTGTCCATGACAGTTCCAAGACTGACCATAAAGATCAAAAAGTGGGCAGTGGCCCAATTCCTGAAAATCCCCGCCCCTTCCTGAAATAGATGGAATACTCCTCCCACTCATTAGGCTATGAAATTACCCACCCCTATAAAAACTGACAGCCCCATACCCTGGTTTCTTGCTCACCTTCTGAGATGTCTGTGGAGTGTGTTTCTCTCTAAATAAATCCACTTCTTACCTATCACTTTGTCTCTCACTGAATTCTTTCTGCAGTGAGACATCAAGAACATGAGCTTCATTAAGTCCTGAAACCAGGTGTGGGATCTCAGTTGGAAGACTGGGTTTTGGCCAGGTTTGAGTCCTAGCAGTGTGGATTCAAGTCCCAGTCTGGGTTTAGGCTGTGTTCGAGTTCTGGCACAGGGGTTCAAGGCCCAATCTGAGGTGCACGGTTTCAAGATGACCAAAATATATTCCTCATATATTTGTTATTCATCCATGGTTCCTGGCTCACAGCTCCCAAAACCCTTGGAATTTCCTAAGTGCTGAGAGTGCTAAAGGTGTCTTTTGTTATGGTAATGAGGTGACTTTTGGAAGGCTCCTAAAGATGGGGGCTGGTTTCCAATGGACCCAACCATGTGATTAGAGGGTTGGGACTTTCAATCTCACCCCCTGGCCTCTGAGGAGGGGAAAGGGACTGGAGGTTGAATCAATTGAGAACGATTTAATCAATCATGCCTATAATGCCTGTATAATGAAACCTCCATAAAAACCCAAAGGACTGGGTTCAGAGAGCTTCTGGGTTGAGACTGAGGAGAGTGGTGAGCCCGGAGAGGGCAGTGGAGTTCTTCACCACTTCCCTGTGCATCTCTTCCATCTGGCTGTTCCTGAGTTTATAGACTTTTATAAGAAGCCAGTAATCTAGTAAGTAAAATGCTTCTTTGAGTTCTGGGAGCCACTGTAGCAAATTAACTGACCTGAAAAAGAGGTCCTTGATGCCCAAATCTTGGCTTTCCTGTGTACTGATGCTGAACAGAAATATGGAGACAGAGTTGTGGAGAAGAAAGAAAGCTTTATTTCTTTGCCAGGCAAAGAGGGAACACAGTAGGCTAGCGCCTCAAGAACTGTGCCCCCCTCCCTGGGGCATAGGGAGGGGTCTTATAGTCTGGAGTCATTGTCAGAGGTATGTGATAAGGATCAGGGCAGTAAGAGTCTTGCATTCTTTCTTCTGTAAAATTTCAAAAGGGTGGGGTTGCTGACAAGATTAGGGTTGTGCGGGGTCTCTGGTGGTCAGGTCTTCTAATCTTGATGAGCTTCTCTGGTCCCTTTTATCTTACCTTAGGTGGTTTCATGGCTGCTCCTTTCTTAATTAGCAACTATTCGAATCTGCCCTTTGGAACTCAGGGAAAGTCATGCAGGCTGGAGTCTTGCCTGCAAGAAATGGGGGACAGAAAGGCCTCTATGCCTGGGAGCCCCACAGGGCCCTGCTTGGTTTCATCCTGGGAACCTCTGATTTATGGCCGGTCAGAATTATAGGTGACAACCTGGGTTTGGAACTGGCGTCTGAAGTGTCCCCACTTCAGGAAAGGACAGACTTCTAGGACTGAGCCCTTAACTTGTAGAATTTGATGCTATCTCTGTGTAGATAGTGTCAGAATTGAGTTGAATTTCAGACATACTGCTGGTGTCCGAGAATTGCTGCAGGAAGGGGCACCCCTTCCAGGGCCCGAGAGTGGGCTCTTGTCTAACAGTTGGAAATGAATTGTCCAAGGAGACACGTGCTGACAAAGCAAGAGACTTTTGGGAAGGAGCGCCCAGGCGGAGAGTAGCAGGGTAAGGGAACCCCAGGAGAACTGCTCTGCCATGTGGCTCACAGTCTTGGGTTTTATGGGATTAGTTTCGGGGTTGTCTCTGACCCATCATTCTGACTGAGGGTCCTTCCTGGTGGTGCCTGCATCGCTCAGCCAAGAAGGATTCCAGCAAGAAGGATTCTGGGAGGTTGGTAGGATATATATACGCACTGGGGTCTCCTCTCTCCTTTTGACCTTTACCGAATTCTTCCGGTTGGCGGTAGCTTATTAGTTCCAGGTTCCTTACCAGGACCTCCTGTTGTAAGATAACTCATGCAAGTGGTTACTATGGTACCTGACCAGGGTGGGTGGTTTCTGTCAGTGGTTCCCTTAACAGTATGTGTGGGACTCCTCCCCCTACCCACCCCCCCAACACACACACATAAACACACATAAACGCACACACAGAGGAAGTGGCCTTGGCACACCAATTCACAGGCAGTTTTGTGCTTAACTATCATACCAGACAATTTTGAATAAACTCTCTCGATTATAAGCAAAATATCTCCAAGAACATTCTGAATGGTTCTAAGGGTAGTAGGGAGGTGCCTTTGGCTCAGGGGTCCAGCTGAAGGATTCTAGAGACACAGCTCATGCTTTCCACCTTCGGTCACGATAGGGGGGCCCACTCTGGATACAGGTAGGCCAGACAGTTTGATTACACATCAGAAAGAAGAGACGAACCATAGCATGCTCTCTGCTTAGCTCTCTTTATTAGCCTGAAAACCCTTTGGATCACATCGCCCTACTACAAAGGACACTTGAGTAAGGACCCAGTGTATGAAGCTGAGGACCAGTTTGAAAGGTTGTTTTCAAGTTGAAGCACCTTATGGCAATTGTCACAGGTAGAAACCATAGAGGGTGGCCAGCAGGTTACTCAGGCAGGGCCTCACAGGCCAGAGTTCCTTGGTGGGGCAACAAGAGCCTGCCTGATCTGTGAGTTTGCAGGACTGGTAATTTGATTTTGTCAGAGCACACATTTTGTTCAGGCGTGGAGGGACCGCCTCACGTTAACCAAACTCTCAACTGTGGTATAAGCCACAATGACAAGGCATTTGTTTACAAATAGCAGATATCATTTCTGGGTGACAAGGATATGGTGCCTGATAATCAGGTACCCTCTTCTCAAAGCTGTGGGAGGCTCTCTTTTTTTTTTTTTTTTGCAGTACACGGGCCTCTCACTGCTGTGGCCTCTCCCGTTGTGGAGCACAGGCTCTGGACATGCAGGCTCAGCGGCCATGACTCACAGGCCCAGCCGCTCCGTGGCATGTGGGATCTTCCCGGACCGGGGCACGAACCTGTGTCCCCTGAATCGGCAGGCGGACTCTCAAGCACTGCGCCACCAGGGAAGCCCTGTGGGAGGCCCTTTTAATATTCAGTGAGTGCCAGTGATCACACAGTCAGAAAAAGGCATTTATTTTCCAGGTTAGAGTAAGGCTCCACAGCCAGTTCCTCCATCCCACAATAGGGAACAACTCTCCAGGGGCCTGAGTGTCTACACCCACAGCCCCTGGGGTGGATAAATAAGTGAAGACATTATTTAGACAACAGTATCTGTCTTTGATCTTTGCTGATAAACAAAAAGAAAAGGATCCTGGCTAAACTAAGTAAAGGACTTACTGTATTAATGGGAAAGCTCAGGCCCCAGGCTAGAGATGGGCAGGTCTGGGAAGCAGGATTCACAGGAACGGTCCCACAGGACAGCCTGTCTGGTCTGGACACCACCCCTGATGCTGTGTCTCTTGCTCAGGTTTCAAATGCCAGGAAGGGGTATGTAATTTGTTAAGCTCAGTTAGTTGCCTGACCTTGGGCTAGAGGAGGCCCAGCTTAGAGTCTTCTTAGACTGACATCCAATGAGAAAATTTAATTATTCAAAGGAAGTTCGGGTACTTTTAGGACGTGGAACTCAATGCTGAGCTGCTCCAAAGCAACAAATGTCCAGAGCAAGTGATTAAAGCTCATGATCCAGAGACCATCAAGTACTTACCCACAACATAAGAAGCTGGTTTACTAGCAAGGGAGAAGGCACTCTGGAGGAACCGTGAGGCATCGTGCTAAGAGGGGGTTGGCTTGGGCTTATTATAGCACTTGGGGTTTTGCTTGATGATTCTAAGGAGTATTTGAGAAAGGGAGGGTCAGTTCTGGATTGGGTGTTGTCTAGATGTGGGTACAATGAATGATGATGTATCTCAGTTTGTATGTAGGAGGTGGGAAGTTTAAAGTGAGGGTAAAGATTCATTGGTAAAGAAGCACTCATCACTCACATTTGGCAGAAGAGAGGCGTGTTGAGTTGTTTTTGCATTGGAGTATCCTCATCATTGTCTTATTTCAGACACGGTCAGTGTGGCCTTGTCTCTTTGTGGGAGTGTTGTAGACGTTCATTCAGAGCCTTCTAGCTGTGAGCTGTCATCTTGGGGGATTTTTATTTTCTCAGTCTTCAAAGTTTAATCAAAACTGATTAGATTTCCAGGGTCTGATTTTCTTCCTAGTGACTTAGAGAGACATCCAGCCTTTCAAAATGAATCTGCAGCTAGCTAATTACATTCCTAGGGATGAGACTGTCAGCACTCTAATTCTGAGGATTTAAAAAACATTTTTTTATCAACTGTTCCTCATGCTGAGCGAATACAGTTTCTGATTGAAGGGATTTGTCTTTATCCATATAAGAGTATTGGGATACAAGGAACTTTGAATGGTTTCCAACATTGAGTCGTTAAGATAAACAAAATAACTGGGGACTTCCCTGGCGGTCCAGTGGTTAAGACTCCACGCTTCCGATGCAGGGAGCACAGGTTCGATCCCTGGTTGGGTAACTAAGATCCCACATGCCTCACCATGCGGTGCCCCCCCCCCCCAAAAAGAAAAGCTGAACTGAATGTGGAAGAGGATGGCAAAAACATTATAGGAAATACAGGATAAATAAATTAAAGAAAAATTACTGGACCACAAATTAGTGGTCTAACTGCATCCCCCACCTTCATGACAAATCCCATTTGAGTAACTTCTGCCTCTCATTGTTGATGGCCCAAATCTTCCTGAAAACATTAGGAATTAACCAGGGGTGAGAACTTGGGGGATAAATACAGCTAGGTTCTTTACAAATGAGTAACCTAGCTACGGTGGAAGTTACAAAGGAAATTTTCCCTCTTTTTCTTTTGAATTATTTTATTTCTTGTTATATCTCTGCTTGAGCTGCCTGTGCAGGCTGCATATTGTCACTGTTCTTTATAAAAGCATCACTGGGCAGGCTGCAGAGGACCTGGCAAACCCCAGGGTTCTTTTAGCAGACCCACATCTTCTACTGTTCTCTGGTTGTTGGTGTGTGCTGTTGGCTTCTGTTTCCTGGTATCTCTCTTCTTCCTGGTGTTTCTCTTCACCTTTCTAGGCTCTTGGTGAATTTGTCCTGGTGGAAAAAGATGTCAAGATTAAAAACAAAGGAAAGATTTACAGCCTCAATGAGGGCTATGCCAAGTATTTTGATGCTGCCACCACAGAATATGTGCAGAAAAAGAAATTTCCCGAGGTGAGTGAAGAAAGCTAAGGCAGAAGCAGGGGGAATGCTGTCTCGGTGGGTTCCTGTTTTGGGGATGGCTGTCGGGGCCTGGCTGAAAGAGGTTGATGCCCCTGTTTATGGCTCTGGACCATATGAGAATGGCAAACCCTGACTTTCTTCATAAGCAATAAATGTCTTTCATAACTAAAATTTACGTACTATAGATCATACTCTCCAGGTGAGTTTGTCCAGGAGAAATTGTCTATGAAGAAGGGAGAGACCAATATTTCAAAATCCAGAGTTTCAGGTCAGAGCATCTCCCCTGTCATTTTCTGCTAAGCTACCACCTGTGCTGATTCTGGTCACGTAATTGTATTCAGGTGGAATAATTACATTTAAAAGTACCATTCATATGCTCTAATATCAGGGCCTGGTGTTTACTCCAAGTTTGCTCCAAACAAACTCCAAACAAACAAACAAAAAATATAGCCCAAACAATCCAGTATGTATGTCTGCCATACAAAGAGCGCTTTCAAGACAGAAAGAGTCAGAGCATTTTCAGATCAAGAATGTGAAGTCTGACCTACACTGGAAGTGGCTGGAAAAGCAGTGGTGTGATGTACCAGCCTGGCTGTCCCTGGAAGCCCTTCACGAGCTCCAGGGAGAAAAGGCTCAGGATTCCAGAGGATCCAAAGCAGTTAGTCAACAGGGTGCTGGGACCTGCCTCTGCTGCCTCAAACGGAAGCTTTAGAGAGTTTTCTTCTTTCTCTGTTCTGTTTGTTCTTTAAGCAAAATTCTTAGAAGTGCAGTCTCCTGTACCTCTCCTTTGGTGTCATGCACAAACCTGTTAGACATCTTAAGGGCAGAAGTAACAGGATATGAATTGTGAGGTTGATAAAGTCAAAATTATTTACAAGTTCCCAGTCTTGGAGATGATTTCACGGTGGTTCCCATTCTAAACTAAAATGCGCCTCTTCTAGAGCCCATAAAGGAAGATACATATTTTACCACTGAAAAACCAAACTTGTATGAAAAAAGACCCATAAATCTTTTTTTTTTTTTTTTTTTTTTTTGCGGTACGCGGGCCTCTCATTGTTGTGGCCTCTTCCATTTTGGAGCACAGGCTCTGGACGCGCAGGCTCAGCGGCCATGGCTCACGGGCCCAGCTGCTCCGCGGCATGTGGGATCTTCCCGGACCGGGGCACGACCCCGTGTCCCCTGCATCGGCAGGCGGACTCTCAACCACTGCGCCACCAGGGAAGCCCCCATAAATCTTTTTGAAGGAGACGTTGCAAACTGAGAAAAAAAGTAATCACCACACATGACTGACAACAGGTGATCAGTCTGTCTACACAAGCACCTAAATACAAGGATGAACACACAAACAGAAAACCAGGCAAAGGGCACAATAGTGCAAGTCATGGAAGAAACAAATATCCAGTCAGCAAATGGGAAGATGTTAATAAAAAAGAAATACAAATTAAAATGTAGCATTGTTTCCACATATGAGATTTGCACAGATCTAACAGATGAATAGTGCTCAGTGGTGTGGGAAAATAAGCGCTCTCATAAAATGTTAAAGGAAACATAAATGCCACAACCTTTCTGGGGGTGAGGCAATCTGGCAATATGATTTCAAATATTAAATATTCAAATCTTTTGACTTAGTTAATCCTAAATTTCCCCTGGAAACTGATCCTGAAGAACTAATAGGTCAAATAAAAAAAGATAAATGAACAAGGATATGTCACTGCAGCATTGTTTATAACAACAACAAAGGAACAACTGAAGTATTGTATCCATCAGGAAGGACCGGTTGGGGGCATCCACAATATTCTAGTGAAATATTGTGCCACACATCTATTCATCCATTAGGAAGGTAAGTGCTTCTTTATATATTGGTAGTGAAACATGTCCACAAAATACACATATATATGTGAACGTATTTATGCACACAGATATACATAGTATGTATGTATGCATAAAATGTCTTTAAAATGTGCCATCTTGTTAATAGTGGTTTCTGGAAGTTGAGGTTATAGGGTTCTTCACTTTCTCTTGTGTGAATATGTGCAATGGTCATGTGTTATTGAAAACGGATCATTCCAACTCTCTTTGTAGAAATTATTGCAAAAGCACTGTCATTTGAAGAGGCAATCAAAGAGTGTACAACCAAGAAAATTTAAAGGGAAAAAGCATATCAAGTAGTTAATTAATAAAAATATTTTTTTTCTGGATTTTATGTTGTTTAGTATAGTGTGAGTCAGCTTTTAAAAATTTGCATTATGTTGTGGTTTCTTCTTCCATTTAAAATGAATGTTTACTTTTGCACTTAAAAATGGAAAGAAAATAGATCATTCTGTTTTGAAAAAGAGGTCCCCTTACTCTCCTGTAGTTTTTTTTTTTGTGTGTGGTACACGGGCCTCTCACTGTTGTGGCCTCTCCCGTTGCGGAGCACAGGCTCCGGACGCGCAGGCTCAGCGGCCATGGCTCACCGGCCCAGCCGCTCCGTGGGATGTGGGATCTTCCCAGACCGGGGCACGAACCTGTGTCCCCTGCAATGGCAGGCGGACTCTCAACCACTGTGCCACCAAGGTAGCCCCCCTCTTTTTTTTTTTTTTTGCGGTACGCGGGCCTCTCTCTGTTGTGGCCTCTCCCGTTGCGGAGCACAGGCTCCGGACGCGCAGGCTCAGCGGCCATGGCTCACCGGCCCAGCCGCTCCGTGGGATGTGGGATCTTCCCAGACCGGGGCACGAACCTGTGTCCCCTGCAATGGCAGGCGGACTCTCAACCACTGTGCCACCAAGGTAGCCCCCCTCTTTTTTTTTTTTTTTGCGGTACGCGGGCCTCTCTCTGTTGTGGCCTCTCCCGTTGCGGAGCACAGGCTCCGGACGCGCAGGCTCAGCGGCCATGGCTCACCGGCCCAGCCGCTCCGTGGGATGTGGGATCTTCCCAGACCGGGGCACGAACCTGTGTCCCCTGCAATGGCAGGCGGACTCTCAACCACTGTGCCACCAAGGTAGCCCCCCTCTTTTTTTTTTTTTTTGCGGTACGCGGGCCTCTCTCTGTTGTGGCCTCTCCCGTTGCGGAGCACAGGCTCCGGACGCGCAGGCTCAGCGGCCATGGCTCACCGGCCCAGCCGCTCCGTGGGATGTGGGATCTTCCCAGACCGGGGCACGAACCTGTGTCCCCTGCAATGGCAGGCGGACTCTCAACCACTGTGCCACCAAGGTAGCCCCCCTCTTTTTTTTTTTTTTTGCGGTACGCGGGCCTCTCTCTGTTGTGGCCTCTCCCGTTGCGGAGCACAGGCTCCGGACGCGCAGGCTCAGCGGCCATGGCTCACCGGCCCAGCCGCTCCGTGGGATGTGGGATCTTCCCAGACCGGGGCACGAACCTGTGTCCCCTGCAATGGCAGGCGGACTCTCAACCACTGTGCCACCAAGGTAGCCCCCCTCTTTTTTTTTTTTTTTGCGGTACGCGGGCCTCTCTCTGTTGTGGCCTCTCCCGTTGCGGAGCACAGGCTCCGGACGCGCAGGCTCAGCGGCCATGGCTCACCGGCCCAGCCGCTCCGTGGGATGTGGGATCTTCCCAGACCGGGGCACGAACCTGTGTCCCCTGCAATGGCAGGCGGACTCTCAACCACTGTGCCACCAAGGTAGCCCCCCTCTTTTTTTTTTTTTTTGCGGTACGCGGGCCTCTCTCTGTTGTGGCCTCTCCCGTTGCGGAGCACAGGCTCCGGACGCGCAGGCTCAGCGGCCATGGCTCACCGGCCCAGCCGCTCCGTGGGATGTGGGATCTTCCCAGACCGGGGCACGAACCTGTGTCCCCTGCAATGGCAGGCGGACTCTCAACCACTGTGCCACCAAGGTAGCCCCCCTCTTTTTTTTTTTTTTTGCGGTACGCGGGCCTCTCTCTGTTGTGGCCTCTCCCGTTGCGGAGCACAGGCTCCGGACGCGCAGGCTCAGCGGCCATGGCTCACCGGCCCAGCCGCTCCGTGGGATGTGGGATCTTCCCAGACCGGGGCACGAACCTGTGTCCCCTGCAATGGCAGGCGGACTCTCAACCACTGTGCCACCAAGGTAGCCCCCCTCTTTTTTTTTTTTTTTGCGGTACGCGGGCCTCTCTCTGTTGTGGCCTCTCCCGTTGCGGAGCACAGGCTCCGGACGCGCAGGCTCAGCGGCCATGGCTCACCGGCCCAGCCGCTCCGTGGGATGTGGGATCTTCCCAGACCGGGGCACGAACCTGTGTCCCCTGCAATGGCAGGCGGACTCTCAACCACTGTGCCACCAAGGTAGCCCCCCTCTTTTTTTTTTTTTTTGCGGTACGCGGGCCTCTCTCTGTTGTGGCCTCTCCCGTTGCGGAGCACAGGCTCCGGACGCGCAGGCTCAGCGGCCATGGCTCACCGGCCCAGCCGCTCCGTGGGATGTGGGATCTTCCCAGACCGGGGCACGAACCTGTGTCCCCTGCAATGGCAGGCGGACTCTCAACCACTGTGCCACCAAGGTAGCCCCCCTCTTTTTTTTTTTTTTTGCGGTACGCGGGCCTCTCTCTGTTGTGGCCTCTCCCGTTGCGGAGCACAGGCTCCGGACGCGCAGGCTCAGCGGCCATGGCTCACCGGCCCAGCCGCTCCGTGGGATGTGGGATCTTCCCAGACCGGGGCACGAACCTGTGTCCCCTGCAATGGCAGGCGGACTCTCAACCACTGTGCCACCAAGGTAGCCCCCCTCTTTTTTTTTTTTTTTGCGGTACGCGGGCCTCTCTCTGTTGTGGCCTCTCCCGTTGCGGAGCACAGGCTCCGGACGCGCAGGCTCAGCGGCCATGGCTCACCGGCCCAGCCGCTCCGTGGGATGTGGGATCTTCCCAGACCGGGGCACGAACCTGTGTCCCCTGCAATGGCAGGCGGACTCTCAACCACTGTGCCACCAAGGTAGCCCCCCTCTTTTTTTTTTTTTTTGCGGTACGCGGGCCTCTCTCTGTTGTGGCCTCTCCCGTTGCGGAGCACAGGCTCCGGACGCGCAGGCTCAGCGGCCATGGCTCACCGGCCCAGCCGCTCCGTGGGATGTGGGATCTTCCCAGACCGGGGCACGAACCTGTGTCCCCTGCAATGGCAGGCGGACTCTCAACCACTGTGCCACCAAGGTAGCCCCCCTCTTTTTTTTTTTTTTTGCGGTACGCGGGCCTCTCTCTGTTGTGGCCTCTCCCGTTGCGGAGCACAGGCTCCGGACGCGCAGGCTCAGCGGCCATGGCTCACCGGCCCAGCCGCTCCGTGGGATGTGGGATCTTCCCAGACCGGGGCACGAACCTGTGTCCCCTGCAATGGCAGGCGGACTCTCAACCACTGTGCCACCAAGGTAGCCCCCCTCTTTTTTTTTTTTTTTGCGGTACGCGGGCCTCTCTCTGTTGTGGCCTCTCCCGTTGCGGAGCACAGGCTCCGGACGCGCAGGCTCAGCGGCCATGGCTCACCGGCCCAGCCGCTCCGTGGGATGTGGGATCTTCCCAGACCGGGGCACGAACCTGTGTCCCCTGCAATGGCAGGCGGACTCTCAACCACTGTGCCACCAAGGTAGCCCCCCTCTTTTTTTTTTTTTTTGCGGTACGCGGGCCTCTCTCTGTTGTGGCCTCTCCCGTTGCGGAGCACAGGCTCCGGACGCGCAGGCTCAGCGGCCATGGCTCACCGGCCCAGCCGCTCCGTGGGATGTGGGATCTTCCCAGACCGGGGCACGAACCTGTGTCCCCTGCAATGGCAGGCGGACTCTCAACCACTGTGCCACCAAGGTAGCCCCCCTCTTTTTTTTTTTTTTTGCGGTACGCGGGCCTCTCTCTGTTGTGGCCTCTCCCGTTGCGGAGCACAGGCTCCGGACGCGCAGGCTCAGCGGCCATGGCTCACCGGCCCAGCCGCTCCGTGGGATGTGGGATCTTCCCAGACCGGGGCACGAACCTGTGTCCCCTGCAATGGCAGGCGGACTCTCAACCACTGTGCCACCAAGGTAGCCCCCCTCTTTTTTTTTTTTTTTGCGGTACGCGGGCCTCTCTCTGTTGTGGCCTCTCCCGTTGCGGAGCACAGGCTCCGGACGCGCAGGCTCAGCGGCCATGGCTCACCGGCCCAGCCGCTCCGTGGGATGTGGGATCTTCCCAGACCGGGGCACGAACCTGTGTCCCCTGCAATGGCAGGCGGACTCTCAACCACTGTGCCACCAAGGTAGCCCCCCTCTTTTTTTTTTTTTTTGCGGTACGCGGGCCTCTCTCTGTTGTGGCCTCTCCCGTTGCGGAGCACAGGCTCCGGACGCGCAGGCTCAGCGGCCATGGCTCACCGGCCCAGCCGCTCCGTGGGATGTGGGATCTTCCCAGACCGGGGCACGAACCTGTGTCCCCTGCAATGGCAGGCGGACTCTCAACCACTGTGCCACCAGGGAAGCCCCCCTATTTTTTTTTTTTTAATGTGGATATTCTTAAGTAGAACTGCTCTTGTCACGTACTCATTTCCAATGGGGAGAACATTAAGACTAATTATTACTAATTATTAAGATGATTTAAAATGAGTCTTAAAATATCCACATATAATTACAAAAACATTTCCATAAGCATGTATAATTGCATATATAAATCTATATTCATAGCACCATATTGAAAGTATCATTGGTTTCTGACCTCCATGTTTTAGCTCTCAAGGTCTCTGTGACCACATTTGTGTGTGTGGGTGCGTGGTTGGGTTCTCCTATGTGCGCTTGTCTCTGTAGAGCAGTGTAGATTTTAATCGTGGAAAAAAAATAGATTGCATGGCCTGCAGGTCAAGGTACCATGAATATCCGGACATTGTGTTTTAAGATGCGTTTACTACAACAATGGCATTTTAAGGTCAGAACAAACCTTGCCTCCGAGACAAACTTTATGCAAGAATGCTGTGCTTATTTATTTGTTTACTTATTTATTTATTGTATCTGAATCAACATGATACAAACAAAAGCATGGTATGCTGTTTTCCCAAAATGGCAATAAATGCCCTCTACAGTCTTAAGTTACTTTCTCCTCGATGCGTGGCTCTCCAACCCAGATTGGAGATACTTTGTTCCTCTCTTTGAAATAACAATAATTTAAAAATCAGCACAAGATATAACTATTTTCTCCAAGTAGTTTTAACAAATGCATTTCAAGAAAAGAATGGAAAGAAAAAGGCTGCACAGAGCTAGATCAACCACTTTGAAAGCGCATTGCAGAAAAGGAGAAAAATTTTTTAACTACAGATTTTGTACCTGTGGTGGAAGGAAGGAGAAGATAGGACGATACTGAGTCAGAGCGTGTAGCTAGAATGTCACCCTGAATCTAATGTGATGTGTGTGTGTGTGTCTGCTGTGGGTCAGGGGATGGGGAGGGAGTCAGAACATAATGACAGAAGTAGACCCAGAAAAGACATTCATTCAGCCCATTTCAATTCAATTCACCATATTCTAACTGGACACAGGACAGACACCCACTAGTTCTCACAGTGCCTTTTAGAAAGGCATTTCTTTCTCAGAACAGGCTCGGCCCTGGACCCATGTACCTGGCCTGGCAAACAAAGGTGCAGGCTGATTTCCCCCCCCCCCCCCATTTCTGCCCTCCACTGGGAGCCCCTGTGCAATGTACACGGTAGCCTTGTTTGGACACTCTCTACATGTCAGGCAGTACTAGGAATGGAGATGCCACAAAGACCAACCTGACAGACCCCTCCCCTGCCCTCAAGGGAGGGCGTCCAATGAGGAAGGCAGGTGTTAAACAAACTTCAGAGTCCGGACTGTTATGAAAGGGGAAGGACAGGATTCTGTGGGAGAGCATGCAACGAGAGAGTTAACTAACTTAGTCTAAGGTGCCAAAAGGAAAGGCCATTTAAACACCAGCAAACTGTTCGGCCAAGTCGACACTTGAGATGTTCCTCCCCACGATGCCGGACACTGTGGTTATCTTGAGAGACTGGCCAGCACTCCCGAGGTGACCTTCCGATCCCATGCAAGCTTGACTCTTGACTGGCCATAAGGCCTGGCCTATAGAGGCTCCTAACCGGGCCCCGCAGAGTCAGTTTACCTCATTGCGGAACCAGAGAGAAATGAATACCTAGATCTCATACTCCCAAGTGAGAAGGCCAAGCTTGCATAAGCACAAAGGTCACAAGACAGGCAGATATCGACCAGAGGTGTCCCCAGAGGCATAGGTGATAAGCATCCGCTGAGGCACCCGCCTCCTGGAGAGTATAGGGCTCGGGCAGCCAGCTCCGCTGAGATGCGCAAATGCACTCGCACTAATGAGACAGCAGTTGAGTAGTTGGAATTCCTCGTGGAGCTTTAGGGGCATGGCTTGGGAATTTTGACAACTTGCAACACTTGTCCACCTGACTCTGTTCCTCTGCAGCTCCGGCTCTTGTATGAGTGCAATCCTGTGGCCTACATCATCGAGCAGGCAGGAGGCATGGCAACCACAGGCACCCAGCCTGTGCTGGACGTGAAGCCTGAGGCCATTCACCAACGAGTCCCCCTCATTCTAGGGTCCCCGGATGATGTGAAGGAATATCTCACCTGTGTACAGAAAAACCAGGCAGGCAGGTAGTGAGTCTGACCCCTCAAGGCCTCTTCTCCTTGTGTTGTACCTTGTTAAGGACCCTAGATGAATGATAGGTGAGTGAATGCTGGTGATGAGAAACAAAAGGCAAATCCACCAAATCACACCCAGAAGAGCAGCAGCCAAGTGCTCACAAGTCTAGAAGCCAGAGGCGAGTCTGTGGTCAGTGTAAAGGGCTAAAAATAAAACCCACGTGTGAAAAGAACAACTTTGATTTGTCTTCTGTCATGAACAGTGGCAAATAGCGCTGTGATTCTATCAGCCCAAGTAATCAGCAGCTATCCACCTGTGGGCAAAAGGTACAGAGATCAGTTATGAATTTGTCTTGGTTTGCTTAAAATTTGAACCTAGTGTCTGAGTCCTATAGTGATTAATTTCCTTTCTTATAAAATAGATATGTATATTTTATATATATACTTATTATATATACTTATATATATTCAAGGTATATAAATATATACATTATATATATTTAAATATATAAACGGCTGACTTAATTTCTTAGAAGTTTTTGTCTTATTGTGGATAGGTTTTGAGTTAGAAATCTCATGGGTATTAAATTCTAAAATTTTGGATCAAGCCTTTATTAGGAGCAATTATTTGGATAACCAACAACTATTTGAATAGAAAAATGTGGTCACCTATTGACAAAGCCACATGCTAATTGGAATTAATATTTAAAAATTAATACCTACTCTTCTCAACCTCTTGACTTTTCCTTTTTAATATTTTCAGGAAATATTTTAATCTATCCTAGGCCCTATCCAGAGTGCACTGGTTAATAACCCTTCATTTGTCCAAATTATGTCTAGATTGGGACGGGGTGGCATATGCATCAGAAATCTCAGCTTGCTTTTCCAAGAGTTGCTATATATGTTTATAGACCTGGAGGCCAAAAATACCTAATGAAATATTCACAAACAAATCCAGAAATATTTAAAACAAAGATACATCAGGACAAAATCAGGCTTAACTCCAAAATTCAAGAATGATTCAATATTAGAAAATCCAGGGACTTCCCTGGTGACACAGAGGTTAAGAATCTGCCTGCCAATGTAGGGGACACAGGTTAGAGCCCTGGTCCGGGAAGATCCCACATGCCGCGGAGCAACTAAGCCCGTGTGCCACAACTACTGAGTCTGCGCTCTAGAGCCCGTGCTCCACAACAAGAGAAGCCACCGCAATGAGAATCCCGCGCAGCGCAACGAAGAGTAGCCCCCGCTCACCGCAACTAGAGAAAGCCTGAGGGCAGCCACAAAGACCCAGTGCAGCCAAAAATAATAAAATAAATAAACTAATTAATTAAAAAAAAGAGAAAATTCATTAAATAATGCATTAGATTAAAGCAAAACGCAGTGGTGGGGAGGTGGGGGCTAGGAGAAACCATGTGAAGAAACATTCCTTTCCCACTTTAGCTTTGGACAAATCCACCCAAAGATGGATTTCAATTTGGATATAATTCAGGATTCAGTAGTGTTCCTCAGTCCACCTCTGCTTGGCAGTGGTAACAGAAGCAGTAAAATTTAATACATAATCGAAAATTTTTCATCTTGCTCCACAAAACACAAAGATTTTCCAGGAAAAATTCTGATTCTAACCAATGGGCTATTAATGCTTCATTAGACATTTCATCAGAAACTTATATCTCAAAGATTCAAGCTGAAGTCTTCACTTCTTAGGAATAAATTGATCTGGTGAGCACATGGTTTCAGGACTACACAGCCAGGAGGGGAAGGATTTTTTGGAAACGAAGGTGAACGATAGCACCTTCAATCATGGCCTGTGTTGCTTTGATGAATGTGGTAGGTGCTCAGGGAAAGATCCATTCACTCACTACCCTTCTTCAAGCTTGAGACTCCTGGTCCCTGCACCTCAAATCTAAGAACGGGAAGCTAGGGAAGAGTATGGGACTCGCATTCCATTCTCAGTGGCTACATATCAAAGATTTGAGAGCATTGGTGCAATGGTGCCTGGGTGACCAGTGCTTTCATAGGCAGGGTCTGGAAAGACACTCAGAAAGAAGTTGGGCTCTCTGGCCCAAGTGATCTGAGAATCCCTTTGCTCTTGGTTTCTCATTCCCTTCAGATTGCCTTCCCAGTTTAGATGCTTTTGTCTATCTCAGGAGAAATCCAGTTCTTTCCATTTTCCAGCAGCCCCCAAAGTACCCTCTACAGGTCTGGCCCCACTTGGGGAAGGTGGGACCATTCACTGGTTTCTATTGTATTTTGGGCAGACGAGCTTCAGCGGCTTGGGGGACAGACCCATTAACACATCAAAAGGGAAGAAGCATTTTAATAGATACTCTTTAAAAATAAGAAGAAAACATGGTGTTTCAAATCAGTGGGACATGAATGACTGGTGTTTGAATAATAAGCTAGTCATTTGGGGGAAAAAATAAACAACAACCCAAAACCTAGATCTGCAAACATGTTGCAGATGCATTTCAGAATTAAACATAAATAATAAAACTGTACAGCTATGGCAAAAAGATAAAGAAGAATATATTTATGACCTTAAACGGGACCAAAAGACACAAAGCATAAGATATAAAGGAAAGACAGATGTCAATAGATCAAAGTAAAAACAATACACCACATAGTTAAAAGACAATTGATAGCTTAGGAGAAAATATTTGTAACCTATAACAAAAAATGAACATCAAGAATCATACATATTGAGAGGAAAAGGAAACTATCCTAGAGAAATACATCCTAAGGATATAAAATATATATCCTAGAGAAATATATCCTAAGGATATGAAACTGCCATTTGCAGACGAGAATACACAAACAGTCAATAAACATGTGAAAAGATGGTTAGACTCCCTGATGATCAGGGAAATGTAAGTAAAATAACATCACTTTTCACTTATCAGATTGGCAAGGTACAATGAAGACTGAAAATATCAGATGTGCTAACAGTGCAGGGAAATGACCCCGTTCCCCCTGCTGGTGAGACAGATGGTGGGGACAGCCTTCTGGGAAGACAATTTTGCAGTTCTGTTTAAATGGACAGCCCCTCTGGCCCAGTAGTCCTACACTTGGGTATGTATAAAACAGCCTATATTAGTCTTTTTAAAATTAAGTATTGCTTGTAATGGCAAAAAGATGAGAGCAACTTAAATGTTCACCTGTAGGGAGATAGTTGATTTGTTGTGCAGCAGTTTAAATAAATTGGGACTTACAAACCCACTCCAGTCTTTATGAATATGGAAATAAATACCTTAAATAGCTTTATACAAAGGCATTCTTAACATCAAAATAGACAAATGCAGACAGAAAGAAATATATCAGCTAGCACCCTAAGGTCTTTTGTTTCTTTTTAACCTGATGAGAATTAACATGTTCTTTATTCACTGGCTTCACTTTCATGAAATGAAATCTAATCGCCTTTTTTTTTCTTTTTTCTTTTTTTTTTTTACTGAGGAAGAGAATACAAATGAGAAAGATATAGAGGGAAGGTCAGAAATGGTGGGTGGGTCTATAAGGTGGGTCTGTGTATCAGTCAGAGTTCTCCAGAGAAACAGAGCCGATAAGGGACACACACACACACCTATTTTACAGTCTTTTTTTTTAAAATAAATTTATTTATTTATAGCTGTGTTGGGTCTTCGTTTCTGTGCTAGGGCTTTCTCCAGTTGCGGCGAGCGGGGGCCACTCTTCATTGCGGTACGCGGGCCTCTCACTATCGCGGCCTCTCTTGTTGCGGAGCACAGGCTCCAGATGCGCAGGCTCAGTAATTGTGGCTCACAGGGCTTAGTTGCTCCGCGGCATGTGGGATCCTCCCAGACCAGGGCTCGAACCCGTGTCCCCTGCATTGGCAGGCAGATTCTCAACCACTGCACCACCAGGGAATCCCCTATGTTACAGTCTTGAGGCAGAATTCCTGCTTCCCAGGGAAACCTCAGTTTTGCTCTTAAGACCTTCAGCTGACAGAAGAGGCTGAAGGGGTTGAGGATAGGCCGTCTCAAAATGTGCTGCTTTGGCATATTGATTATTTTGATCTGAAGGCACTTGAGAATCAGCAGATCCAGGAAGAGCTTTCTGATCTGCCCTTTCTACCTAAAAGCAGGTCATGAAATTTCCCATGAGAGATGTGCCCTCCCTGTACCAGGAAGAGAAATACATGCTTGTCACCAGAGACTGGGAGTCAACACGGAAGTGGATCTGTGTGAACAAACCTGCTAAAATAACCCTCATCTTTCACTAGTTTTGCATCCCTCTGCCCCCATATATAGCTTCTAAGTGACTTCCCCACAATTACTGCCCTTAGGCCAAACCCCTTTTTCTTGTCATTTTTTCCACAAATTTATCATTTCTTTGCCTAAAGGGTATAAAAGCTTTCAGCTCTGGTCACTTCCTTGGAACTTCATTCTCTTGTAAGAGTCCCCATGTATATGTAAAATTTAATAAAATGTGTATGATTTTCTTCTGTTAATCTGGTTTATGTCAGTTTAATTCTTAGGCAGGCCAGATACCCTAAGAAGGTAGAGAAGAATCTTTCCTTCCCTACATGCCCACTCACATCATCGAGAAAAAACTTTAAAGTCAACTGATCGTAAATGTTAATCACTTCTACACGGTATCTTCACAGCAACTTCTAGACTAGTGTTTGACCAAAGAACTGGGCACCATAGCCTAGCCAAGTTGACACATAAAATTAACCATCACAATCTGAAGTACAAACGGGGAAAGATGCCCAAGCTATAATCATAGGGGAAAAGGGCATTTTGCAAATAGATATGACGCGATGCCACTTTCATAAAATAAAATTTAAAATAATGACAAAACTACATGATCCAGTCCTTCACATTTTGCTAGTGGCTATAACTTCTGTGCAGTCTGCCAAGACCTACTTCTGTAATTATCTGTGCCTCCTTCCCCAGGGTTCTCATTGCATCTGTCTCTTCACTGGCTTCCTTGCATCTCTTCCTTTCTCTCTCTCTCTCTCTCTCTCTCTCTCTCTCACACACACACACACACACACAC